TTTTTTTCTTTAGAAACTGATAATTAATAAATGTTGGATTTTTTTTTCTTACCTTTAATGCATATGTCAAAAGCAAACAAGTAGAGAAGTTTAATCATCAACTGCTGAAAATTGGTTCTCTATGTCATGTGAAACAATTTTTCTCTCAAAAATCTATCCTAGATATTTATAAGTCTACTATTCATCTAGGCTTATAATATTGCTGCCACATATGGTGTAGTGTCCCTGCTATTTATCTGGAGCTCCTTCATAAATTCCATTTTTTTTTTTTTACCTTTAATCGTTATACCAAAAGCGAACAAGTACAGAAGCTTAATTATTATTATTCTCAAAAGAAAAAATACACCCTAAGTAATGTGATAAAGCCACCAAGATGCAAGATGTTGCTGAGAATGAAGGAAACTGGCGACAAGAAAGGAACAGGATTCAATGAGACAGAAAAGCAAGAATTTGGAATAGAGTTTCAAAAGTGAGAAATCCATTCCGTTGACACACATCTACAGCAACTTGGTATCTGTTAAGGTTAGGTTGTCTGTGGGTCTTTTTTTTTTAATATACCATGTACTTACTATCTATACAGATATTGAACATTTCTTTTTAATATATTTCACCCCCCACCCAGCAATGCAGTAAAACCATGGAGATATGAGGTGTTACTCAGCATGGAAGAATTAGGAAACAGAAACTTTACTAAGGCCCAAGAAACGTGGAAGAGTAATCAGACAGACTGTGGAAAGTGATTGACATTGCATTTAAATGTAAGCATAACTGTTAACCATTGCATTTAAAAGCAAAAAGAAAAACTTACAGTAATTGATAGCAACACACAGTTTTGTATTATTACTTGCATCCCTGAAGACGATCTCAGAAGAAGATCGAAAGTACTTGGAAGATAAAAGTGATTTTCACAGTTATAGCAACTCATATACTTGTATATTTTTATTGTATATATTTGTATATTTACTTCTGTCTTAAGCCTGATCGGTTCAGTAAGGTCAAATTGATAGAAGCCCTCAAAAATGATCTACAATCTTCTGTTAACTGGGGCAAGAAATGCCTCCAAAACGAAACAGCAATCTTTTAATCATCTTAGAGAACTACAATTGCTTTCCATCAGCATGTCTAATGCTCATCTCTAGTTAGGTGATCCATTGTGCCTTCTGATGCTAACATTTTCAGCTGACATGAAGTGGAAAATTATATTGAATCAATTGCTAGTTTTGATATGAGGAAATTTGTTTCACTCTGTTGTACAAAACAATTTTTCTTACATATTTCTAAGTCTACCATTCATCCCTGGATTGAATATTGCTGCCACATCTGGTCCGATGAGGATGAAGAAATTAAAATTTATTTACATCACAGGGACTACATTAAAATAAACAAAATCCCCAAGCATTGTCAAGTGACTACCACAAAACTATCCTTTAAAGTATGTTACTTGGATACAATACTGAGGTGGAAAAAAAATAATTTACACATAGTTAGAGATGACAAATTAAAGCCAAGTTTATACAATTATTTAAAAACATATCTCTAACTACACAACAATTTTCGTCTAGCTAAATCACATGCTGCACTCTACTGAAAACAAATTTTAAAACAAAGACAAATATTACATGCTAGCAATTATTGATGCAACTCTCGCTTACCACAGATGTCTCCAACTACGTACACGTGTTTCACTTAAACAGGCACTGTAATTTTTTCTTTTCTATTTTTGTCTTACACTCTAAGATATAGGTCACACATGGTTAAAATGCGTCCCCTACTGGGGAACACATGCACCATTCAATTCACTTTCATTTACTTTTCTCTTGGACGTTCTCCTACACCAAACTTCATACACACAAACATTTCTTTTTAAAATGTTTTAAATATTTTCTTTTTCATATTCAGTGTTTTTGTCACATGCAATAATCTTCTGTTATTGTCTACGCATACCTTTTGTTAATACATACATTGTTGTTTGCTTATATACACTCTCTTTTGTGGGCTGATCACTTTTTTAAGAAAGAGAATTTGTTGGCTACTGTTGATAATTAATGCTAAGCTCTTCACTTTGATTTAAGCCCTCTGGTAGCCAGTAATGTGTATATCTTGTATATAATGTGTTTAAAAAATTCCCTTTCTTACTAGCATGCATTGATGGCCTAGTGGTGAGTGTCTCTGACTGGTGTCAAATAGGTTGAGTTTTGATCCTGGCTTGAAGCAATCACATGTCTAGCCACACTAATGAGCTGTGATCCAGCAAAACAGTCTATGGATGACTATATATATATATATATATATATATATATATAATATTTAAATAAAAACAGACCACTTTAAGGTTCCATGTAATAAATTATTTCACCACTGCCCTTTTAAAAGGACTGCGGATCATCAGACTTTACTTACAAACAAAAAATGAAAAGAAAATTTATACATTTTTGATGAGCCGTATTAAACATATGTAAATTAACAAAGTGAGGAAGTGAGGGGGGAGAGAGAGAAGACATGAGTGAGTTAGCAGATATTGACACATTTAAACGGTTAACTTAACAGAAGTTATATATTGATATCGAAGGGGTAGAGAAAAAAAAATCCATAGAGAGAAAAAGAGAGAAGGAAGTCATGAGAGAAGATGTCACTAATTTTCTTTGTAAAAAAAAGGATAGAAACAGAATTATTTTCTTTGGATTTTACTTGGACTCATTCAAGTCTGCAATAATTGTTGTGGGGAAAATGTACCAGGAGACACGTGTTTTCTACCTGTTATAAAATAAAATAAGACATATCTCGGCTGATTTACAGGCAAATACTCAAGAGCAAGAGCCAGATGTGAACGGGACAAAACCCCATCACAAAACGACCATTATCTTCATTTACAAATGTTCCCGACACACATGTTCCGGTTGAAAAATAAAATAATATTTAAAGTGTTCTATTTTTCTTCCAATAAAAATGCTTCCTTCCTAATTATACTCGCTTCGTTTTTTGAGCCTGTTAAGCCATAAAAAACGCTATAAAAGGGGTCACACGGAAGTTCAACAGGCAGACCACAGGTGCCCAGGGTAGAGACCTGTCACGGTCAGCAGCTGACAGCAGAGGAGCATCAACCACCATCAACATGTGTGAACTACTATGAGAGATCGACCTAGATCCGAAGCTGGCTTATGAACTTTATCACAAGGTAGCTGTCCCAAACCCACATGTTCCTGTTGAAATAAACCACGTAAATCTATTTCTGCTGTTGTCGTATTTCTTTCTTGCAACCATAAGCTTGTCTATAACATACCTAAGCATAACCAGCATTCCCACAACAATGTAGATATTAGATTTTAATTAGAAATAGGATATTATTGAAATATACATTTTTGATAACAAAAAAGGATGATCAAAAACATCTGCACAAAATCATTTTGAACAGTGGCTATGGATGTAAACTGACTTTTGTTAGTTGATTTTAGTAAAGCTTGTTTGAATTAATTTTTACTGCTTAAGTATACATTATATATTAATTCTCTTGAGTCTTCAAGTGAAACTCATGTACAATCCATTGCTAAAGATACTAGAGAAATAAACTGATTCTTTCTGCCATGGTTAATCTTGACAAGAGTCATTAAGTAAAAATGGAATACTGGTGCATTACTTTTTGTTTCGTTTCTCTTTCTCACACATCCAATTTTGTTTTGATCTCATTTCATGATGAAGACAACTTTGCTTCAAATGGATTGTTTAGCATAGATTATGTTCATTTTTGAGCATTTAGTAGATCACAAGCAAATAAAATAAAACTCAGATAACAATATGAAAGTGTTATTTTTTAATTTTGGAGAATAAAATTTCCTTGTAATTTTATAGTTTGAAACAATTTATTGGAAATGATTTAAAAAAAAAAAATTATTGTTGGAAATTGCTTCAAGATTTGTTTTATGCAATCAAAAATTTGCAGTTACATTTTTAGAAATATTTTTCATTCTGACTTTGGGGCAGTCTTAATAAACTAAGTCAGTGTCAGAAAAAAAGTCCCTACCCATTTATTAGGTACCCATGGGTATTGTTGAAAGAAAATCAAATATAATTAACTTTTCATATCCAAATAGAGAGGTCACTGGTCAGTCTGCATATTCACTAAATCTTCCAATCACAGAGTTCATCATTCTTTGACCCAATACTCAAAACTGCCAAATTCTAAGACCTCTTCTCTTAAATTGTTTAATTCAGGTCATCGTTCTTTAAGCATATTCGTCAAATTGTTTAATTTGCAAGTCAACAGCTGATGAGGCCATTCTCTTTATTACAATGGTCAAAGTTCATCAGTCTGGAGGAAGCCTCCTAAATTCTTCAAGATCATGTTGTTAACCTATGAGCATTTACAGAGAAATGACAAGGTCAAAAGGTCACAGATTTATGGAACCTTTCTTAGAAACTGCCAAAATCAAGGGTCAACAAGCTATCAGCATGTCTTCTAAATTGCTGATGTAAAGTGAAATGGAACTGGCGAAAATTGGTAGAAATTTTCACAGGGATTTCTACTTCAATAGCAACACAGAAAATATCTGTCTAAGTTTTCAAGGAGAGTTGTACGAAGATATGATGCTATGGTAAAAGTCTTTGTGAAATTTGAATATTTGGCCTAATCTTGTTCAGAACTTTTCATTACTGCACACCAAAAGATTGTATTTATTCCAAAGCTTTAATTTAGCATGGAATTAAGGATCTTAAGATGCAGTCCTCACCTTAGAGCAATAGCAAAATATTATATGATTATTTGTTTTTTTGTTTAATGACATATCAACCTCTATTGGTTATTTAATGCTGAAATCTAAATATGTTTCTATGCAATTTTTTTTGAGATAATAATGGTTTAGTGAAACATGTCTTACTAATTAACCCATAGCTGGGAGGAGAAGAATATTTGTGCATAAGTGAATATAAAAAACCCAACTGGAATTGGAACTCTCCAATTAACAATACTGAGCCATTATCAATTAAACCACCCATACATCCAAATTTACATCACCTGGTATATGCAAGTTGTCACCCATCCAGGTACTGTCCAGGCTCAAAATTGCTTAACTTCAGTGATCATACAGAAACCAGTGTTTCAATTTGATTTAGCTGTAAGCCTTCAAAATACTGTAGCAGGAACTATTGCAGAAAGTATGTAAAACGAAAAAAATACCATGGATGTCAGTCAAAAACAAGTTATTAGGTGTGCACAAAGTTTCCAGGTCTTTTTTTTAATTATTTAACTGTCTTTCAAGTCTGGAAACTTCTGCTCAATATAAGCAATAATTCTGGCAAATTATATTCAAGGTTACCTGTCTACTAGGGTGGCAAGCCAATCCCTATTGCAAACCCTTGCTCAGGCACATTTGTGTTTGCTCAACACTCACAGAGCCCACCTGTGGTTTATACTGCAACTATACTGAGCAGACTTTAGTTACAGTTTCTGGGAAAGAGAATGTTACCTAACATGACCAACAATTTGAACAAGGTCAGCATGCTCAAGCCCTTGGCCATGCTGAGGATTGCAAATTGTAAGTGCTCTTAAGAAGAAACCTGTAATTAGTCAAAATTTGATTTTACTGTGAATATGTTTAAGAAATGTTTTTTGGTGAGTGGGGGGATTTATCAGTACAGTTAACACAGTATCAAGAAATTTAATTTTTTTTTTTTGTTTTTGCTTTGTTAGTAAAATCAATTGTATGTCTGATGTTTCTTAGTTTATTTACAAGATCAAGCAATATTGTTTCATGCAGAATTTTTTAATAAAGCACCATCAATATATCTGAAAAATATGCTGTGGAGATAAAATATTTTATAAAGGACGAGTTTCTAAAATATCTAAGAATCAACATGATGTCACGATGAAGAGGTGATCCCATTAGTAATCCAAAATGTCTGTCTATAAAAATTATTATTAAGAGTGAAACTGGTTTGTAATAATGCAACTGGTTTCACTTAATAATTTCTATAGGCAGACATTCGGACTGCTGATGGGATCACTTCTTAGTCATGTCTTAGCATGTTTTTTCATGGCATTCAGCAAATACTTTTATCTGTAAGTAAAGAGAGATAAACTTTTGATTGGACTAAATGGAAATTTAAGCATTTGCTAATAGGTACATTAATTATAGGGATTTAATAGGTACATTAATTATAGGTATTTAACATCTCGACTATTCATGAGTTTATCTGTTATACTTATGATTTTCAATCTTTTGAGAAGGTCACCAGAATTTTAAATATGTTATGGCCCTATAACAGGAAAGATCTGCAGAAGAAAGATTTATTCTCCCATTTGTATTCCCCCTCATGAGCATTATTATACTGATGATATTATAACACTATAATTCACAGACAGACTGGAATAGCAAAAAAGGAAAAAGAATGACAAACTTGCTTTGTTCTCAGGGAGACTTTTCTACCACTAAGACATACAAAAATCCATATATACATATTTTAATGTGCACCATGTGGAAAACAATATATCATATCTACACAGAAGCAGAGTACAAGAAGAAACAAAAAGGAAGGGTTTGACATATAATAGGGAGATTCTACTGTGTTTCTGGAGAAGCCATGTTTAGGAATCCAGATTCAAGTGGGCCAGATTTATCAACTATGACTCAGGTGAGGACATATTCTACGAAGAGGAAATGGCAAGTCTTGTGTTTTCCAAAATTGAGGTTTGTCGAACAGAAGTTTCTTACTATATCTGTGGAAGATATATTCCTAAAGGGAATTGGCACCATGTGCTTGTAAGCTGCTGGGAAAGTGGGTTTAGTCTAAACCTGGGTCTCTTGGTTCAAGCTAAATCAAGCAACTGCTCAGTTTGGCTAGTATAAACCGACTGACTAAGTGCCTGGCCACATTCAGCACTGTATGAAGTGATGTCATTAAGCGGCTATCATGTAACCCATGTGACTTATCTCCACCAAAAGTTGATACTCTCTTATGTATCCCTGCAGGCCAGTTGTGCATTCAGGCCAGGTACACAAGCACCAACTTTTTGGTTATCTCCACATACATCAGATTACATAGTAACATGAGATATTTCTCACCAAAGAGCTTGGCTTTGTGTGGCCATATTTATTTTGTATATAATATACCAGATTGAGGATGCTGAAATGACCCACTGATCACTATTGTCATATCAGTCCAGTGATGCTGAATCATTCTCCTGATCACATGGTGAATGTCTGGAAGTATCTCTCTGATTTAGAAATCTTTCATCAAAAACACTCAATGCCAAACAAATGCACACAGCAAGGCAAATATCTGTTTTTGCTATACTCTTTATTACATCCTGATTTTATACACAAATCCTTTTGTACAAGTTTTATTTTGTACCTCATTCTAAGTTTTAAGAACAATCATTTTGATGTATCTTGCTGAAACAAGATTCAAGAGACAGATTTTGACCAGAATTTAATCTCATACAAGGTTAGTTTTTCCAACTGCTGGTATGATTTTATGTCCATAATTTTTGTGTGAAGACATAAGACAGAAACTAGTGATTTTAATTCAGTCATAAACACTGTTAGGAAGTTGATCCTTAACTTTCTTTTTAAATGTATTTACAAATTTAACATTACTGTGAATAAATATCATGTCTTTTATTAAACAAATTATTTGGTAATGATCTTGAAAATATTTTTTTAACTTTTTTAGTTTATATTTGACAGCTCATTGGATGTGTTAACAATACTTAAGATGGAAGGCCAAACCATATCTTTATAAACCGGTGACCACTTCAGAATATATATGTATATATATATATATATATATGTGTGTGTGTGTGTGTGTCTGTGTATGTGACAGTGTCATCCCAAATGGACAAAGAGGAGAATTTCCCCCTCCCAACATCAAACATAAACAAGCATAAATAGATACAATTTTTAAAAAATAAACCAGTTTGTCTGATGATCGCAAAAGCATGAAACTCAGGGTCACAAACTCATATCCATACAACTGAATATGTTTGCTCTATCACAAGTACTTTCCAATAAGTACTGCACATATAAAATAATAAAAATATATATATATATATATATATATATATATATATATATATATATATATATATATATATATATGACTGTTTCAAATTACAAATATGACCCAATTTCATCTCAAAGACAAATGAAATAAAATCTGTCCACAATTATTTTGCAAAGTACAAGTCTAAAAATTGAAAGAAAATTAATTCAACTCAAAAAGCACGGAAACAAAACGTGTTTTAATCAAACAAAAAACATCTGGAATTTTATTTATTGGAAAACACTCAAATTTTGACAAGGAAAATTAAATCTTGCATTAAAGTAAATGAGAAGCAAAGAGAAGAATTTACGAAGATAAAGACCAAAAAAAACAAACAATTAAATTGAAGAGTATTACAAAAAAGTAAATAAAAAATAAACGTCCAGTTAAGCTAGAAAAACTATTAGTGTTTACTCATTTATTTATAGTCTGAAGAAAATGGCTTGATGGTTAGAGATCAGGATGATGTTTCACAAACTTCTTGTCATGAGAATGTTCTGAAATGAACCCTATCTTCCAGGCATCATTTTAAAATGAAACCTTCCTTGATTCCATATATCTAATCTATAATTATAAACTATAATTTTCAAAAGGTGAAAATACTGAAGAATTTTAGTCTCATTTGAAATGAAAATATGAACTGCAAACAAGATGGTTACAAAATATAGGAAAATGGCGGCATCAATTTAACCCATATCCTCCTTTATATCGTCTTTTTTTTCTTCATTTTATCGATGTTTCGGCTGTTGTACACTCCACCCTTCTTCAGGATCTGTCTATTTCTGAGATGTGGTATTGTAACCATTCACATTGTTTGAACTGTTATCAGCATTTTGGCTGAGTGTAAGGAAATTAATGAATTTCAACAAGGTGATATTTTATATTTTTTGTTTTCATAGACATAACCAAGTAAAAAAAGAAAAAAATGAGAGACAAAACGCACTAGTATGCATGCAAAAGAAGACATTCAAATTTAGGAAGAGTGTGTGTATGTGTCTGTGTGTGTGTGTGTGTGTGTGTGTGTGTGCATGAATAAAGTTCAGTCAATGAGGGGAAAAATATCCCCATGCTTGGGAACAAGGTCCCATGGATACTGTCACTACTTGGTAAAACTATCAAAGCTATATGAAAACCACCAGTGTCTCCTCAAGGAGGCTTCATATCATGAGAAACTTTCAGGCCTTAAACTCCCACCTGACCTCAAGTGGAACTTGTACATACAATCCATCACTAAAGATGCAGGTAAAATGATCGGCTGACTCCTCTTCCTATCTTCTACCTTTACACGAAGAACTAAATCAGGCCAAAAATGGATGTACTGTTGTCATATTTGGGCTGGAGCTGCCGAGTCCTCACTTTCCAGTCTCGATAACAGAGGCAGAGTGGCTGTGCCCACTTTTATAAATGGCCCCAAGGTAATATCTTCCTCGGCTCCCTGTACCACTCCAGTAAGTACCTGACTCCTCATGCCATCCTCTACCTTTACAAGAGCCAGATCAGGCAGAAAATGGAGTACTGTTGTCATATTGGAGTGGGAGCTGCCTGGTTTCTTTCTAGTCTTGATAGGGTTAAGAATCATCTCCGACTCCTTTTGGGTAACAGATTATTTTCCACCCTCCAACCTTTCTCAAAGATGTGATGTGACAAGACTCTCACTGGTCTATCACTGCTTTCATGGGAAGTGCTTGAACGAACTACATTCCTTAGTTCTACCAAGTCTAATCAAGGAGGTAGGACCCAACATGCCACTTATATTGTAGCAAACCCCACCCACATTCTCTCCATATTCTCTTGGGGAGTAGTAAGTTACACTCAAAGAGCTTCTTCCTGCGAGTCACTTCTTCTTGGAACCAACTCCTGAGAAGATGTTTTCCTAATCACTACAACCTGTTCAAGTCTAGGGTTTACCGTGATCTCCTCCTCCTATCTGCATAAACTGCTTCTTAACACTAGGATGGCCAGCTCCTTTGACATCTTTATTTACATTACGCCGTGAAGCAGCCATCTCTAATATATTCAATATTCAAGTCAGGAATAACAAGTCTGAAAAGAAATTCACAAA